CTCAACAATATTTATTATTTTTAAAATGATGATTTGAATTTTAATAAAACCTAAACATGAAAGTGAATTTATACATTTTCTTCTTGAAATTTGACAACAAAAATAATAAACAGTTATGTTTAAGTTTTATTCAAATTCTAATTATCACTTTTTAAAATTGCCAAGGGATAAAGGTAGTTAAAATAATTGCATTGTCAATAGAAAAACTGTCCTTCTTAACACTCTGCCCACAAAGGTCCAAGATTGCCAATTCTTTCTGTGTTGGATGTAATTTATTAAGCAAGGAATGTATTTTTTTTTTATCTAACTTCATTTCTTATTACTCTACATGCCATATTTAGTGGGTACATGTGTTTGAGCAGACCTCTTATTCTGGAATTTCTACATAAATGTTTACTAGAATAGAGATTGAAAGTCATAAAGAACATGTGCCATGTAACAAGATGGAACCAATAACCTTTTTCTCAGTTTAGTTTATTTTATTTTATTTAATTCAGTGAATATTCAACTACATGTTCGTGTATTGTGGCTGATGGCTGCTTCAGTCTACTCTTCATATTCATGGCTGATGGCTGCTTCGGTCAACTCTTCATATTTCCTGGCTGATGGCTGCTTCGGTCAACTTTTCATATTTCGTGGCTAAACGCTGCTTCGGTCAACTCTTCATATTTCGTAGCTGATTGCCGCTTCAGTCTGCTCTTCATATTTCATGGCTGATGGCTGCTTGGTCTACTTTTCAAATCTCATAGCTGATGGCTGCTTCAGTCTATGCTTCATATTTCATAGCTGATGGCTGCTTCAGTCTACACTTCATATTTCATAGCTGATGGCTGCTTCAGTCTACACTTCATATTTCATACTTGATGGCTGCTTCAGTCTACACTTCATATTTCATGGCTGATGGCTGCTGTGGTCTACTCTTCATATTTCGTGGCTGATGGCTGCTTTGGTCTACTCTTCATATTTCATAGCTGATGGCTGCTTCAGTCTACGCTTCATATTTCATAGCTGATGGCTGCTTTGGTCTACACTTCATATTTCATAGATGATGGCTGCTTCAGTCTACTCTTCATATTTCATATCTGATGGCTGCTTCAGTCTACGCTTCATATTTCATAGCTGATGGCTGTTTCAGTCTACACTTCATATTTCATAGCTGATGGCTGCTTTGGTCTACTCTTCATAATTTGTAGCTGATGGCTGCTGTTGTCTACACTTTATATCTCATAGCTGATGGCTGCTTCAGTCTACTCTTCATATTTCATAGCTGATGGCTGTTTCAGTCTACACTTCATATTTCATAGCTGATGACTGCTTTGGTCTACTCTTCATAATTTGTAGCTGATGGCTGCTGTGGTCTACACTTCATATCTCATAGCTGATGGCTGCTTCAGTCTACGCTTCATATTTCATAGCTGATGTCTGCTTCAGTCTACACTTTATATTTCATAGCTTATGGTTGCTTCAGTCTATGCTTCATATTTGATACTTGATGGCCGCTTCAGTCTACACTTCATATTTCATAGCTGATGGTTGCTTCAGTCTATGCTTCATATTTGATACTTGATGGCTGCTTCAGTCTACACTTCATATTTCATAGCTGATGGCTGCTTCAGTCTACTATTTATATTTCATAGCATATGGATGTTTTGGTCTACTCTTCATATTTCATAGCTGATGGCTCCATCAGTTAACTCTTCATATTTCATGGCTGATGGCTGCTTCAGTCTACGCTTCATATTTCATATCTGATGGCTGCTTCAGTCTACTCTTCATATTTCATAGATGATAGCTGCTTCAGTCTACACTTTATATTTCATAGCTGATGGTTGCTTCAGTCTATGCTTCATATTTGATACTTGATGGCCGCTTCAGTCTACACTTCATATTTCATAGCTGATGTCTGCTTCAGTCTACACTTTATATTTCATAGCTGATGGTTGCTTCAGTCTATGCTTCATATTTGATACTTGATGGCTGCTTCAGTCTACACTTCATATTTCATAGCTGATGGCTGCTTCAGCGTACTATTTATATTTCATAGCATATAGATGTTTTGGTCTACTCTTCATACTTATAGCTGATGGCTGCTTTGGTCTACTCTTCATATTTCATGGCTGATGGCTGCTTTGGTCTACTCTTCATATTTCATAGCTGATGGCTGCTTCAGTCTACACTTCATATTTCATACTTGATGGCTGCTTCAGTCTACACTTCATATTTCATACTTGATGGCTGCTTCAGTCTACACTTCATATTTCATGGCTGATGGCTGCTGTGGTCTACTCTTCATATTTCGTGGCTGATGGCTGCTTTGGTCTACTCTTCATATTTCATATCTGATGGCTGCTTCAGTCTACACTTCATATTTCATAGCTGATGGCTGTTTCTGTCTACACTTCATATTTCATAGCTGATGACTGCTTTGGTCTACTCTTCATAATTTGTAGCTGATGGCTGCTGTGGTCTACACTTCATATCTCATAGCTGATGGCTGCTTCAGTTTACGCTTCATATTTCATAGCTGATGTCTGCTTCAGTCTACTATTTATATTTCATAGCATATGGATGTTTTGGTCTACTCTTCATACTTATAACTGATGGCTGCTTCTATTTACTGTTCATATTTCGTGGCTAATGGCTGCTTCAGTCTACACTTCATATTTCATAGCTGATGGCTCCATCAGTTAACTCTTCATATTTCATAGCTGATGGCTGCTTCAGTCTACCCTTCATATTTCATAGCTGATGGCTGCTTCAGTCTACACTTCATATTTCATAGATGATGGCTGCTTCAGTCTACTCTTCATATTTCATAGCTGATGGCTGTTTCAGTCTACACTTCATATTTCATAGCTGATGTCTGCTTCAATCTACACTTCATATTTTATGACTGATGGCTGCTTCAGTCTACTTTTCATATTTCATAGCTGATGCCTGCTTCAGTCTACGCTTCATATTTCATAGCTGATGTCTGCTTCAGTCTGCACTTTATATTTCATAGCTGATGGCTGCTGCAGTCTACTATTTATATTTCATAGCATATGGATGTTTTGGTCTACTCTTCATACTTATAGCTGATGGTTGCTTTGGTCTACTCTTCATATTTCATAGCTGATGTCTGCTTCAATCTACTCTTCATATTTTATGACTGATGTCTGCTTCAGTCTACTCTTCATATTTCATAGATGATGGCTGCTTCAGTCTACACTTCATATTTCATAGCTGATGGCTGCTTCAGTCTACACTTCATATTTCGTAGCTGATGGCTGCTTTGGTCTACTCTTCATAATTTGTAGCTGATGGCTGCTGTGGTCTACTCTTCATATCTCATAGCTGATGGCTGCTTCAGTCTACGCTTCATATTTCATAGCTAATGGCTGCTTCAGTCTACGCTTCATATTTCATAGCTGATGGCTGCTTCAGTCTACACTTCATATTTCATACTTGATGGCTGCTTCAGTCTACACTTCATATTTCATGGCTGATGGCTGCTGTGGTCTACTCTTCATATTTCGTGGCTGATAGCTGCTTTGGTCTACTCTTCATATTTCATGGCTGATGGCTGCTTTGGTCTACACTTCATATTTCATAGATGATGGCTGCTTCAGTCTACTCTTCATATTTCATATCTGATGGCTGCTTCAGTCTACGCTTCATATTTCATAGCTGATGGCTGTTTCAGTCTACACTTCATATTTCATAGCTGATGGCTGCTTTGGTCTACTCTTCATAATTTGTAGCTGATGGCTGCTGTTGTCTACACTTTATATCTCATAGCTGATGGCTGTTTCAGTCTACACTTCATATTTCATAGCTGATGACTGCTTTGGTCTACTCTTCGTATTTCATGGCTGATGGCTACTTCGGTCTACTGTTCATACAAGGATCTGTTGTGTTAGCCACCTCTTACGTGTTCAAATATTGGCAAACTAACTTAATTTCCTTGTTTGGCAATCAGTTCTGTTACTGGAAAAATTTTAACCATACTTATGCTTGACACAGTTTTAATAAGATCAAAAAAACATAACACTTACTCTATGTCTACAGGGCCGGTGCAATGGTCTCATGCCTTTCCATCCAATCCATGATACCCCCCTCACCACCACCACAACGTACTTCACTACATGTCAATTTTCATCAGGTAATATACATATAAAATACAAATTTTATTGTATCCTGATTATGTACAACAATGGATAATATGCAATAAAGGTGAACAATTCAACTAGAAAAATTAAAAATGAATACAATTTATCTAAATACAAATTCGAGACCTGTCAGAATAGATCATTCCGTTTTAAATAAATCAAAGTTTTGCAGCAGTTCTTAACAACAACTTGTGATTTTTCTTGTTAAAAAATTGAATGATTGTTCAACATTATGGATGAAAATAGTGAATTTTATACAGTTTTTTAATTTTTTTTAGGCTTGGCATGAGCAAAATAAATTCATGTATGACGTCATGATCCACAAAAATTTTTAATCCTTTAATAGTCAGTTGTACTTAGTTTAATTAGTAACAAATATAAATGGAGGTAGGAAAAAAGCAAATGTTGATAAGATAGCAAGGGTTACAAAGCACTGCCCAGGGTCACCAATCATATTTTTGATCCCACCTTTGGGTGGCGGGGTCAATTGTAGTATGCACCGGCCCTGTGTGTGTGTGTGTGTGTGTGTGTTTGTGTGTGTGTGTGTGTGTGTGTGTGTGTGTGTGTGTATAAATATACATGATATGTGTGTAATCACAAAAAAAAAAATGATCCATTAGTTAGTCTGTCTGACCCATAAAGTAAATGTAAATAATGATTTTTCTAATGTTTGCCCAAACGCAATAAGAATATACTAATAGTAGTAATAGTAGTAGTAGTAGTAGTAATAATAATAATAATAATAATAATCTATCTACTAAAATAAGAAAGAATTGGTTTTAATTATAATTTTTCATTCTTTTAATTAAAACTTAAAATTAAAATTTTTTATTCATTTATTTTTTCCAGTTAAAAAGCATTGGACCAAAACTGGTGCCGTTCTTCAAGACAGTTGCACTGTATTTTGTCCTGTACCCCGATGAGAATCCACCGACCATTTTTTGTTGCCTCTTCAAATGTCTGCCCATCATCTCTCTCATGCTTTTTGTCCTTCTTCAAGGCATGAGTTTCAGTATTTACTACCGATATTCAAGAAGAATCTTGGTTGGACTTATCTTCAGTTGCCTTGGTGATGCTTTTCTTGTCTGGAAACAGAATTATTTCATGCACGGCATTGCCATGTTTGCCGTTTCCCAAGTGATGTATGCTCGAGCTTTTGGCTGGAAACCTTTTAACCCATACGCTCTCGGAGTATTGTCCGTCATCGGAATCGCCGGGTATTACTACGTAGCATCTGATCTGAAAGGTGTCCTCCTCTGTTTGGTAGCCCTATATATGGTTCTAATACTGACCATGGCATGGCGAGCAATTGCCAGGGTCCAGTTTTTTGATGAGCTGTGGACATGGACTAAATTGTGCGGCTGTGCCGGCTCCATTTTATTCCTCATCTCTGACTTTGTTATTGCCATCGACAAGTTCCGAACACCTGTGCCATTTTCTCACACCATCGTAATGTCTACATATTATGCAGCTCAGCTTGGCATTTCTTTGTCAGTTGTTGATAGCCAAGCTGAAGAACTTTTGGCACAGTCCAAAAGAGAATTCTCTGAAACAAATGATGCCAAGGTGAAATGAATACACAAGAGCTCCCCCCTGCTGAAAAAAATTAATCTTAAATTATAGTCATTTCTTACCATTTTACAATTTGTACTTTTTCATATTTATTCTTCCTGTTTCTACCATCGATTCATCTTCATTACAGAATATGGATATTATTTAAATCTTAGACTGTCATTTGAACTTTGAAACTAATGACAACTGTAACTAAAGAAGTTAGATTTTAACTTGTGTCACAAAACTGCACATTCGGTAGCTATGCTGGTCATGGTAAACAATTCAGATCCTTATATTTCTGAATGTATTTGGAGAAAAGGTATAAATGCAGCCTTCACTCCAATGCTACATGTTCTGTCCCACTGCCAATTCTTTTGACCAGGGTTTTAAAAGTAGCAACTCATTGGGGTAGACTTCATTATGGTGAGAGTGATAGAAAACGAGTTTCTGTTTTCTAATATTTATTCCCATTTCAATCCTCAAGAATTAAAGATCTCAACAAAAAACGCATAACAGGACATAGCGATAAAATCAATTGGTTTAAGAAGTTATACAAATGGATATGCCAACGTTGGATAAGTCTTTTACATTCCTGGATATGCTGGTTACTCCAATTTTAAAAATTTGAAGGTTTGAAACAATGGCCTCTATTTTACCATTTCTTAATTCTTAAAATATTTCTTATTTCTTGAAATATTCCTTATTTCTTGAAATATTTCATTTTCTTGAAGAACATAATAGTTTTCTTAATTTATTCTTTGTCTTCAAATATTTTTGCTTTCTTTATTAATCAGAAAACAAAAAATTAATTCAATTGAAAATAATCACATCAAAAATCCAAAGTTGTTGAAACGGAAAAGAAATTCAAAGAAATTCTTGAAACCAAAGAACTTCTTTACAACCAAAATGACTTTGAATTTGTCTTTGTTATAAAATTATAAAAGAACACATTTCAAATGAGTTTGTTTTTTTTTCTTTAGGTGTTGTCTATTTGAATTGCCAAGAGTTCAAGTAAAATTTGTGTTGCCAGATTGGAATTCATTCTCTCGTCAAAATAGTACTTTTTTACTGTTGTGGAGTAGTTTTCACAGTGGAGGCTTGTATTTTAATAAGTCGTCCTAAATTAAGTTCAATGTACAAAACGTTAGGAACTTGAAAATAAGAGTTAATGACGCAGCAAATCTAGTTGTGATGGTTGGTACTTCAATGTCCGATATCGTCTGACTTGCTCAACACCACTGAGCCCGAACTGGCGACTGCTACTGCTACTTATTGTCTATGGGAGAGTCCATTACAATAGAATAGGTATATGGTATGACAGTTACATATATTTCTTTTATTTCTTTTCAAACATTCTCATTCCTCTCTTCTTGGCATTCCATCTCAAATGGGCGTGTCTAATCAGAAATAAAATTCTAATAACACCAGACAACAGTTTCACAGAATGACCAGAATTAGTAAGAAGCCAAAAAATGCCACAAAAGATTATTCTTCAAGATCATTCGCAGAATATCAGAAAAAAAATGAATGAATATAAGTAACAATATAATATCTTCTAAATGAAAACTTTTATTTGTCTTTAGCAAGCAATTCTTTCTGTCTTTAATCAGCCTAGACTGAATATAGATTTTCCCACTAAACCATTTTCTGTTTTAACAGGTTTGGCTTTGATAACTGTAGTAGGATTTGTTAGGCTAATACTAATTAGCATAATCATACCACTATACCACTATTTATAGGCAGAACTCTAGATCGATGGAAAGGAGTTAGTAAGTTATGATGACTACTCCTACAATTGTGCATACAACTTCATAACAAAAGGGCCAAATGAAACTATGTTGGATTTGGAAAAACCTGAAGAGGTTATTATTTGGTTAAAGTGTTTTGAAGCAATGGCCAGAATTGAGAAATTAGCAGATGACCAAAAACAGAAATAAATTTCAGATTTATTTATGGCCACTGTGGGATGTAAAGCCATTAATCAAATGTCCTTAATGACTTACCCGGAGGAAATTGAAAAACTTAAACTTTAAAGATATTAAGGACATAGTTTTAAAAACTATCCAACCAAAAAAAAAAGATTGGTCATTGCTGAAAAGACTAAATTTCTAGCGTTAACACAAGAGTCTGGAGAACCTATAAGGAAATATTTCAGTAGACTAAGAGATTCTTGTAGGTATTGCGACCTTAATGAACTTGGGTGGAATGGAATGACAATAGAGGGGGAATTGATTCCAGCTTTGACTGGTGGAAGGATTATATAACACTAAGCAAAGACTTAAAATTTTGGAGAAGTTGCAATCCAATAATATGAATTTGGAAGCGTGTATTGAATTTATACAGCAGGACAAGTTGGTTGAACAAAAAACAAAACAAGAAGAAATGATAGAAATATGTGCCATTAAGAAAAAAATAAAATCAAAATGCAAGTATTGCAGTTATGAACATAAACCAAAAAGAGAAAAATGTCCCACATGGGAAAAGATATGTGATAATCGTAGAAAAAAAAAGAATCATTTTAAAGCTGTGTAAATGGCAAAGCAATAATGTAAAAAAATATGGAAATAGTAGAGAGCATGACCAGAGCAAGAGAATTTTTGTTATGAAAAAAGTTTTTGCTCAGATCAGATCATAAACCACTAGAATTTATATCCTATCCGAGGAAAGAATTGCCAAAGGTCACATCATCAAAGATACTAAGATGCGCAATGAAGTTGATGGCCTTTGACTATGAAATAGAATATGTGAAAGGAAACACGATCCCACACTATCACGACTACAGTTTGAGGAGGAACAACATGAGAGAAAGTGAAAGATGGAATTTTTGAAATGGTCGGAGACCAATGTATTGCCCATTAATAGATTCGTGATGGAGACTCTACAAGATCCAGTATTGAATAGGATCTTAGAGAGAATAAGGAAGAACAAATGGAGTAATTGCTCTAAAGCAGAAAGACCGTACAAAGAGATCAGACATAAATCGACAATAGAGAATGGTGTAGTTTGCAACAGAGATCTTGTGGTACCATCAGAAAGTTGTAGAAGACAGGTAATCAAAAGTGTGCAAGATGATGTGCATTGTGGAGTAGCTGCTATGCAAAAACAGGTAAAATTGGAAGCCTGGTGGCCTGGTCACACTCGTGACGGGGAGACGTGCGTAAATAAATGTCCTAAATGTAGAGAGATAAAATTTTTTCGACAGAACAAGACACATTCGTGGCCACAGGAAACTGAATCCTGGTCCAGGGTTCACATGGACCATGCACATATGAATGGGATAGGATTGTGTCTGATATTGGTGGATGCGTTTTCAGCATGACTCAAAGTTTTTAGGGTTCAGGATAAAAAATCAGATACAGTACAACAAATTTTACGAATAGTCTTTACCAGGAATGGTGTACCAAGGACATTGGTAACAAATAATGCTCCAGAATTTTGCGACGAAAACTTGTGTTCATGGTTAAGAAACATTGGATGCATACCGTATGAAACCCCTCCTTATCATCCGCAATGAAATGGAATAGCGGAGCAAATGGTGCAAACCATAAAAATAGGATTAAAAGCCTTCTCCCCACAGCATGAAAGAATCAAAAATTTTCTACCAAGATTGTTATTAAGTTACCAGACAATACCTGATGCCAGAAGATTACTAAGTTCATCCGCGTTAATGGGAAGACAAATCAGAGCACCATTTACAATGTCATACTCAACAAATGAGAAGATATGGTACAAGAGAAACAGAGAAGAGGGGCCAGAAAAAGTAAGATTTATAATGCAGAAGGGACAGAATACAGTGTTGGTTTCCAAGAATGGAGGTCTATTGGCGCATGCTGACCAACTAAGAATTTGCCAAAACTATGAAAACTCGGAGACTGAAGATAATGAGGATAAAGAAGAACAATATAATAAATCAGAAGAGACAATGAGTGCTCAAGTGTTCTCTGAGGAATCAGAAAATGAATCAGTGGAGATTGAAGAAGAAAGAAGTAGGTCGAGATCTCCTATAATGAGAAATCCTCTTGAAACCAGTGAAAGCGGGGAGGGTATGTAGAAGAAGCAATAGGTCAACTCAAGGAGTTAAACCTAAAAGGTTCCGGGAGGTGTAGTGGGATTGGTTGGGCTAATACTAATTAGCATAATCATACCACTATATATAGGCAAAACTCTAGATAGACGGAAAAGAGTTAGTCATTTATGACAACTACTCATACAATCGTACATACATGGAACTTCATAAAAATAACAATTCACAATACATTTTTATGTTAAATGTTTGATAAAAATCAATGAAGCCACTTGTCAGATTCCATCTTGAGATCCTGATTCTTTTTAACATCCCAAATTTGCATCTTAAAACAGTCATAACAACTAAAATGTAAATGGATCCTTTGAGGTTTCTTTTAATGTGTGATGTGATGGTGAGCATCTTCAGTTAATATTACACTGTGTTGTCTATTACAATGGGATATTTTGAATATTCTCTTCAAGCCTTTCATCCACGGAAAATAGGCACAGAGAAAATGATTTCCAAAACACGAAGCAAACGTCATTCTACTGCAAACTTTTCTAATGAGTACTTTCGTTTTTGATGTCAAATTTAATTCTTCAATTCCTTGGTTTTTCTCCCGCTGACTTGTCTCTTTAAACTGGGGTATATATGAAAAAGGTCAAGATACATATTGGAGTCATGGATAGTGGATCACATTGAGGAAATGGAGAGCCAAATTTGAATCCCTTTTGTGTTCATTATATTCACTTACCTACTTGGGGAAAGTTATGAATTCATCTCTTCTCCCTCCAGTTATGGGTAAAACAACAGGACAGACTGGGTCCTATAGCATTGGATGGTAACTTGTCTAGAAGGAGGGAAAACTCTGAACTCAAAACTAAGGCCCTATTGTACTGAGGTAGGGCAACCAACACTATATTTCATAGTCTTTGGCTGTTCATCACGAGCTTCGAGAGAAGATGGATACTTCCAAACTATCTGAAAGGATCATGAGAAAGGAGAATCAGTCTGT